GGGCCCAATATCTTTGCTTGTCAGCCCAGTCCAGCAGTATGTTAATTATAGTGCGGCCTTTTTGACTATGTTGAGTTCCGGCAGCCGTTTTTCATGCCGATTTCAATTCTATAAATTATTTTCAAAGTAGAAAAATTTGAAAAAATTATTTTAATTCCCGAGACTCTATTTTGGTTATCCGAGTCTTATTTTTCAAAAATGAGAGAGTTCCAAGTCCACGAAAAATCCGATTAAAACCCTTAAGTCTTAATTTTTATTAAGTATGAGTTTTATGTTAAACTCGAGTAGTGAGATAAATTATTGATAAAATATCTCACTTCAATGTAGGTGTTTGAGGAGTCGAGCTTCATCCTTCGTACTTGCTTTTATGTGCCATTTTCTACCGAAATTTCTAAGTGGGTTTTGAAAAATTACTATGCTTTAAATGTTATTACTGTTTTATTTGTGGTATGATCAAAGTATGCATGTGAATCATGTAGCCTTCAGTGTGAGCTGTATCGGCCACTGAACGGTTGTCCCCGTAGCTATAGAACGTACCTTCAGGTAGTCTCCCTTGAGAAGCCGTAAGACCAGGGCTTAGGTCCCTCGGCCGGTGATCCTCATTGGTAAGTCCAAGGCAAGACCTTGGCTGGTGGGGTGATTTACTCCTACTGGCTGGAACTCGATGTAGGACCGGAGGGCATTCGATATATAGACAGCAGTAGTCTATGCGTAGGTGTGCACATGAGTCTGATTATTGTATTATTGATGGGAGAATGGCATAGATTATTGCTTCATATACATGCTGAGACCATATCTTTTGATTATTGATTATTGTTGATTATTGACATTAACATTTATGGCATAGCGGTGAGCACTACTGTTTCCTTTGTGCTCATCCCCACATGCTCTTCATGGATGCAGGTTAGATAGAGCGGCACGACAGAGGGGATGCGAGTGGTGGTCTTTAATTATTGATAGGGGTTATTTCCCTTGGATTATTATTGGATTATGATTGATTATTGGGATTCTCATGTGGATTATGAGTATTGATTATTGCTGAGTATTGAGGATGTGTTTAGTTTTGATTATTGTTTGAAAATGAGTAGCGCCTCAAATATTGTTTTTGAAAATAAATTTGAAAAACTTATTCCGAATTTTGGCAAATAAAAGTGGGGCGTTACAGTTTGGTATCACAGCCAGTCTGCGTTTCTGTAGACTGGTCTAAGTATGAAAATTTGATTATGTGAACATATGCTTGACCTTATGTTATGACCATTTGCTCTCGTCGTGCCACGCCAGCTCAGGTATGAGTACCTAAATGAATATGAGATTATTGCATATTGTTTGATTATTGATTATTGGAATGAAATCGGGGTTAGGACTAAGCCACCTTTAAATGCGAACTCTAGTGCTGAACTCTAGACTCCTTTTATTATTTTGCTAAACTGTTCGACCCATTTTTAATGTAGAACTATGTCTCGTCGTAATGCTCAGATCCGTCAGCCTACTTTGTCTCTGCCTCAGTCTCCATCCCCATCTCCACCTCACCAGCAGGCTCCCAATTCGGCTGGGGCTCATCTCAAAATCGTGCTCCAGTTCCGGAGTCTAACTCCGCCAGAATTTCATGGGACTGAAGGGCCCGAGGCTGTGGCGAAGTGGATCCGTCAGTTAGAGCAGAACTTTGACCTCCTGCAGTGCTCTGACGAGCAGAAGGTTATTTGTGGCCGTTATATGCTTAAGGGAAGTTCCGCCTTATGGTGGTCCGGCTATTGGAGGTTGCGACATGTGGAGTTTAATGTCCTGACTTGGGATCGCATGAAGGAGGTGATCATGGAGAAGTATTATCCTCAGGGTTATCGCATGAGGATGGAGCGTGCTTTTTGGGATCAAACTCAGGGGACTGGTACCGTTGAGGAGTACGAACGGGAGTTCACCCGCATGAGTGCCTTTGCTCCACATATGGTGGACACCGACCTGAAGAAGGCCCACAAGTTTCGGGATGGGCTGAATCAAACCCTCCGTATGCATGTTGCTAGCCAGAGAGATCTTTTCTTTGATGAGACCGTTATCCGAGCCACCCAGATTGAGAGTTATCAGACTCTCAATGTTCCTGCCCCTTCCGCTCAGCTAGTTCAGCCCATTTCCTCCGCACTGCCTGGCTCTAGTTCGGGCAAGAGAAAGTTTGATTCCCGTCGGGATAACCGAAAGGGAAAGCGCGGTGGGAACGACCGTCGTGGTGAGCGTCCCTTCGCTCGAGACCAATTTCTGAGGTGTCGTAACTGTGGTCGTTATCATCCGGGAGAGTGTCGTTATACCCAGCGAGTTTGCTTCAACTGCATGAAGCCCGGTCATTTCTTCAGTGCTTGCCCCGAGCCCCCGAGACAGCAGGCCCAGCTGCAGCAGCAGCAGCTTCCCCCTCCACCTTACCAGCAACAGCAGCCCAGGAAGCCCCCACCACCACACCAGCAGCGGGCAGGAGGTCAGGCTCGTGTATATACCATTGCTCACGACGAGGCAGCCAACAACGCAGGTATCATGTCTGGCATGATTTTCTTATCCAATGTGTCTATCTTTGCGTTATGTGACACTGGAGCTACTCATTCCTTTATATCCTCTCAATGCTTGGAGGCCCTGTCTATTGATAATGTGTGCAACTGTGATCCTCTCGAGGTTAGCCTGGCCTCGGGAAAAATTATTATCTTCGATTCTATGGTTTCTGGTCCTCAGGTTAGTAATAGTGGGCGTGTTTTGGAGGCTGATTGCTATGTTATTGAAATGCGGGACTTCGATGTGATCTTGGGCATGGACTGCCTCACTCGCTATCGAGCCGATATTCGGTGCTAGGAGCGCGAAGTCACTCTCTTCCCCGTTTCCGATCAGCCTGTTATTTTCTATGGGGTGAAGTCGAGGACTGTGCCTCGAGTCATCTCTTTTATGCAAGCTAGGAAGAGCCTTTCTAAGGGTAGCTGTCTAGGCTATCTGGTTTCTATGGTATCTGAGGACGATTCTGAGAGGTCCCCAGAGAGAGTCTCTATCGTCTGCGAGTATATCGATGTCTTTCTTGATGAGTTGCCTGGAGGACCGCCCGACCGCCAAGTGGAGTTTACCATTGATCTAGTACCAGGAGCCGGCCCTGTTTCTAAGGCCCCTTATCGTATGGTGCCGAAGGAGCCTCAAGAGCTCAAGGACCAAATCCGGGAGTTGCTCAAGCTCGGTTTTATTCGGCAGAGTGTATCGTCGTGGGGTGCGCCCGTGCTATTCGTGAAGAAGAAAGACGGATCGATGCACATGTGCATTGACTATCGGGAGTTGAATACCCTTACAGTCCAGAACAAGTACCCCCTTCCTCGCATTGAGGATCTCTTCAACCAGTTGAAGGGAGCCAACGTCCTTTCCAAGATCGACTTGCGTTCTGGCTATCATCAGTTGAAGATCCATGAGTCGGATATTTCTAAGACTGCCTTCCGTACCTGTTATGGCCACTATGAGTTCGTAGTTATGCCGTTCGGACTCAGCAATGCCCCGGCCGTGTTTATGGACCTTATGAATAGGGTCTTTCATCCTTTCCTGGACCAGTTTGTCATTGTGTTCATCGACGACATCCTGGTTTATTCTCGGAGCATCGACCAGCACAAGAAGCATCTGAGGATTGTGCTGGAGACTCTTCGCCGCGAGAAGCTGTATGCTGAGTTCTCAAAGTGCGAGTTTTGGCTGGATCGTGTGGCATTCCTTGGCCACATTGTGACAGCGAAAGGCATTAAGGTGGATCCCAGCAAGATCGAGGCAGTGAGCAAATGGGATACGCCAAGAAGTGTCGCTGATGTTTGTAGGTTCCTGGGGTTAGCAGGATACTACCGGAGGTTTATCGAGGGTTTCTCGAAGATAGCCCAGCCACTAACCAACCTTACGAAGAAGGTCGTGAGGTTCGATTGGAGTCCTAGGTATGAAAAGAGTTTCCAGGAGTTGAAGAGGAGACTCACTACCGCGCCCGTTCTATCGATTCCTGATCCTACTTTGGAGTTCATCATCTATAGTGTTGCTTCGAAGATGGGTTTGGGATGTGTCCTTATGCACCAGGGGAGAGTCGTAGCCTATGCTTCGAGGCAGCGGAAGCCTCACGAGCAGAACTACCCCACTCACGATCTTGAGTTAGCTGCAGTCGTTCACGCCTTGAAGATTTGGCGGCAGTACCTCTATGGAGACAAGTGTGAGATTTTTACCGACCACAAGAGCCTAAAGTACATTTTCACCCAGAAGGAGCTGAATATGCAGCAGCGTAGGTGGTTGGAACTGGTCAAGGACTACAATTGCACGATTAGCTACCATCCTGGGAAAGCTAACGTAGTAGCCGATGCCCTTAGTCGGAGGAGTTATGGCCAGTTGTCCTGTCTTTTTACCGAGCAAGATGTCCTTTTTCGGGATTCGAGCAGCTACAGCTAGAGGCGGTGGAGCCGCCTTCGACAGCCAGGGGTATGTTGACCTTTTTGGTTGTGGGACCGACTCTTCGTGAGAGGATAGTCGCCGAGCAAACGATCAGTCGCCGAGCAACCGAATGATCGTTTCCTTTGCCGAATGATGGAGTTGTCGGAAGCTGGTAGAGTTGGAGGATTCACAGTCGCATCTGATGGGGCCTTGGTCTTCGAGGGTAGACTTTGTGTTCCGAAGGTATGGGAATCGCGAAGGGAGATTTTGAGTGAGGCCCATAGTGCCCCGTACACCGTCCATCCTGGTAGTTCGAATATATTTCAGGACCTGAGGAAGTCTTTCTGGTGGCGAGGTATGAAGAGGCAAGTGGCAAGGTTCGTGAATGGGTGCTTGGTGTGTCAGCAAGTGAAGGCTGAGCATCAGAAACCGAGAGGGAAGTTGCAGCCACTTGAGGTTCCCTTGTGGATGTGGGAGTGCATCACCATGGATTTCTTGGTGGGATTGCCGAGGTCGAGGACCGGGCATGATTCTATTTGGGTGATTGTGGATCGCCTTACGAAGTCTGCCCACTTTCTGCCAGTCCGGACGACTATGAAGGCTAGTCAGTATGCCGAGTTGTTCGTGGACGAGATTGTCAAGCTTCATGGAGTTCCCATGGAGATCGTGTCTGATTGAGACGCGAAGTTCACTTGCCAGTTCTGGAAGACCATGCACCGAGCCATGGGGACGAGGCTGGAGTTCAGTACAGCTTTTCATCCTCAGACAGATGGCCAGTCGGAGTGGATGATCCAATACTTGGAGGACATATTGAGGGTTGTGGTCTTGGATCGTAGCCTAACCTGGGAGAGTGCCTTGCCCTTGGTCGTGCTGACTTACAACAATATCTACCACTCTACCATCAAGATGGTCCCATTCGAGGCTTTGTATGGATGTAAGGTCCAAACACCCTTGTACTGGGATGAGGTCAGGGAGAGGAAGATCATGGGTTCGGAGTTCCTTCTTAGAGCAGCAGAGATAGTTGAGGCTATCCAAAAGCATATCCGGTCAGCCCAAGAGAGGCAGAAAGTCTATGCCGACCGGAAGAGGGATGAACACGAGTATGCCGTCGGAGATCACGTCTTCCTGAAGGTCTCGCCCATAAAGGGTGTGATTCGCTTCGGGAAGAAGGGAAAGCTTAAACCGTATTATATTGGGCCATTCGAGATCCTTGCCCGAGTCGGAAACATGGCTTATCGGCTGGCTTTACCACCTAGCTTGTCGGGAGTGCATGACGTGTTTCACGTCTCTATGTTGCGGAGATACGTGCATGATCCCGGTCACGTGGTGGACTTCGGCGAACTGCAGGTCGAGCGAGACCTTACCTACGAGGAGGTACTGGTAGTCATATTGGACCAGAAGGTCCATCAGTTGAGGAACCGGGCAGTGAGCTTGGTGAAGGTGCTTTGGAGCCGACACGGCGAGTCGGAGGCGACTTGGGAAAAAGTGGCCGAACTTCGAAGGCGATATCCGAACTTTGAGTTTTGAGTTCCTCTTGTATTTTATTGGCTTTCTAGATTTTTATTTTCGAATTCCGAGGACGGAATTCTTTGTAAGGTGGATAGACTGTAATACCCCGTTTCATTTTTGATTGTTGGAGAATAATTATTGATTATTGCTATTATTAAATTGTATTTATTATTATTATTATTATTATTATTATTATTATTATTATTATTATTATTATTATTATTATTATTATTGTTATTGTTATTGTTATTATTATTATTGCTATTAAATGTCAATTTGCTATTATTTACTTGTTATTAGTAATATTACTATTATTAAAATTAATTGTCTATATTGCATTAGTGCTCGACAAATTCTCATTTAGACTTATGTTAATTAGTTAGACGCTCTTGTCTAGTTAATTTAATGAGTCATGAAATTGTATTTATTATCATGGTTAATCGAATTGCTCAATATTCCTCGGATATAATTCTCGGCTCAATTGGAATCTGTTTCCTGCTCATTTGCCATATTAAATACATTGGTCCATTGTTAGATTAATAATGGCCCAAATTCTTTTTACTAATTATGGGCCCATTGTAACTTCTAATAATTTTATCCCAATTGAGTTAGGCCCATTTAGAATTATATCAGCGAACCTTTTTCATTCTTTTATTATGTAAACAGATACTTCTTCCCTTTCCCCTCGTCACGACCGAGTCTTTTTTATCCTCAACGGATAAAATTTTTTGGTTCCAATCTAGGCGTGAGGAATCTTGTACGTTCTCTTCCCATTTATCTCGTTTATTTAAGAACCGGCGAGGAACTTTTCAATTTAAAACCGTTCAAGCAGTAATCGCATATCCCTGCACTCATTTCTCTTATTCATTGTTTTTTTTTTAAAAAAAAATAAAAAAAATTATCGCAAACCTGCAATTTATCCGGCGAACCACCATCATCTCCAGCATTCCCTCAGCCCAGAAATCGCTGCAGACCATCGTCCTGAGCCCTTCTCGTATGCCCTGACCGTTCGCCGACAAGCCCATCACAGAAGCTCCGTTCGCGAGACACCAACGGTCCGTCGCCATTCTTTCCGGCGACCACAGAGCTTCTTCGAGCAGCGTGCAGCACGTCCGTTGAGGCAAGTTCTCACCGTCGGCTTCAGTTAAACCTTGATACCGTTAGCGAGCAACACTTTTGAGAGAGTCCGAGTACCGTTCGTTCAACCCGATCATTTTTCGATAAACTCATAGATTCCCGAAGATGGGCAATCCTTTCGAACCATTCTGTTTTTCTGTTCGTGCTATCATGTTGCTGGAATTAATTGCTTGTTGATTTGACTATCGTATATTCGGTTGGTTCGTATATTCGTTATTTATTTCATATGTTCGTGAAATTTCGTGGATTATCGGAACTCTCGTTTATCGTATATATCGAGTCAAGTTGCCTTTGTTATTAAATTGTTCGAATCGGAGTATCAGTTTGTCATTTCGAGCCGTCGTTAGGTTGTTCGTTTTCGTTCGAGCCTTATATGTCGTTCCGATTATTCGTCTCAAACTCGATTTTTATAAGTTTTTTTCCAATTATGATAGAGTGGTATTTTTCGCATATGAGTGATCTTCCCAAACCTATGTTGGGTTGGAGTATTGTTGTAGTAGAATTTGATTGAGTTTTACAGGTTGCTGTGTGTTGTTGCATGCTTCTGGTTGATATATTTTCCTGATTCTGATCTAAATTCTATTCAGTTCGCTAGCTTCGGTTTTATTTTAATTTTCCCTTTAATATACCGACCGATCAAATTGGTGCAGTGGTGATTAAGCTAAGTTTTGGACATTATTAGGTCCCGTGTTCAAACCCTGCCTTTGAAGCCCATATTTTTTTGTCACATTTTTCCAGTCCAAGTCCTTGCAGCCCGCGCTCGGCCCGCTTCAGCCTGCGCGCGACCCGATTTCTCACGCTACAGCCACGGCCCGCGAGCCCGCACCCGACCCAGTGAGGCCCGCATCTTCCCAGCTTTGGCAGGCTTAATTTTCGGCCCAAAGGGCCCAATATCTTTGCTTGTCAGCCCAGTCCAGCAATGTGTTAATTATAGTGCGGCCTTTTCGACTATTTTGAGTTTTGGAAGCCGTTTTTCATGCCGATTTCAATTCTAAAAATTATTTTCAAAGTAGAAAAATTTGAGAAAATTATTTTAAGTCCCGAGACTCTAATTTTGGTTATCCGAGTCTTATTTTTCAAAAATGAGAGAGTTCCAAGTCCACGAAAAATCCAATTAAAACCCTTAATTCTTAATTTTTATTAAGTATGGGTTTTATGTTAAACTCGAGTAGTGAGATATATTATTGATAAAATATCTCACTTAAATGTAGGTGTTTGAGGAGTCGAGCTTCATCCTACGTACTAGCTTTTGTGTGCCATTTTCTACCAAAATTTCCAGGTGGGTTTTGAAAAATTACTATGCTTTAAATGTTATTACTATTTTATTTGTGGTATGATCAAAGTATGCATGTGAATCATGTAGCCTTCGGTGTGAACTGTATCGGCTACCGGACGGTTGTCCCTGTAGCTATAGAGCGCACCTTCGGGTAGTCTCCCTTGAGAAGTCGTAAGACCAGGGCTTAGCTCCGTCGGCCGGTGATCCTCATTGGTAAGTCCAAGGCAAGACCTTGGCCGGTGGGGTGGTTTACTCCTACTGGCTGGCACTCGATGTAGGACCGAAGGGCATTCGATATATTGTCAGCAGTAGTCTATGCGTAGGTGTGCACATGAGTCTGATTATTGTATTATTGATGGGAGAATGGGATAGATTATTGCTTCGTATACATGCTGAGACTATACCTTTTGATTATTGATTACTGTTGATTATTGACATTAACATTTATGGCATAGCGGTGAGTATTACTGTTTCCTTTGTGCTCATCCCCACCTGCTCTTCATGGATGCAGGTTAGATAGAGCGGCACGACGGAGGGGATGCGAGTGGTGGTCTTTAATTTGAATAAATGCTTCCGCTTTGAACTGAACTTTGATATTATTGTGTTATTATTGATTATTGCTTTTCATTAGTACTTGATTATTGAATTATTGATAGGGGTTATTTCCCTTGGATTATTATTGGATTATGATTGATTATTGGGATTCTCATGTGGATTATGAGTATTGATTATTGCTGAGTATTGAGGATGTGTTTAGTTTTGATTATTGTTTGAAGATGACTAGCGCCTCAAATATTGTTTTTGAAAATAAATTTGAAAAATTTATTCTGAATTTTGGCAAATAAAAGTGGGGCGTTACAAGTTGCGTCAATTGCAGGCTAGGGTGAATGGTCGAACGGAGAGGCACGCTCGAGGACACCCATTCTCGAGGGACATACTGGCTGCTCCTTTGCCAGTGAATTTCAAGGATACGAATTCGGTATTCGACGGGACATCGAACCCGTCGAGACATGTGAGGATTTTTGAAAATGTGGCTGTGTTGCATGGGTATACTAACCCTGTT